CGCAATCCCTTCTCCTCCATTCTCCTCTCGGGATCTTGGGCATGCACGCACACGCGCCCGGCGTGAGATTTAAGCCACCGGGTCCGAGACGCGAACCGCGGTCGGCTACGTGGGAGTCCAGCGACATAGCCATTACGCTAACTGCTGGTTCCCAATAATTCTTGAAAAAATAGCTAAACAAAGAAGCTACAGGTGAGAGGCGGGGCCTGGGCCACAGTTAAAGGAATCTTTTTTGGTGCCATCTGTTCCCGTGAGCCATCAGGCCTCTGCCGTGCACTGGAATCAGGTAGGAGAAGGCTACCTTCCCTCCTGTCTCTGGACAGCAAGTCCTCCTCTGCTCCCAGGCCTCTGTCAGGGTGTGGCTGCCCTGTCCAGGTACCCTACCCCACCTTGCGGGACAGGGTTCCAGCCTTGTTTCTGCAGAGCTCGGACCACTCCCCGGGTGGACTGTGCATGCAGGGGGCCAGCTTCCATAGTGTCCAGTGGACTGGCCAGGGTAGGAGGCACTGCGGAGGGGTCTGAGGAAGCAGGGGGCTGGGGGTGGCCCACTAGGGGTGGTGCCTGTACCTTGCGGGAGGAAGAGGAGAAGCAAACACAAGATGGCAGCCTGGAGGAGCAGGAAGGCGAGGCTCCACTTCCGCCCGAGCTGCTCCAGGAGGAAGATGCTGCACAGCCGGGCGGACACCTCCATGATGCGGGGGATCACCTGTCTAAAGTGGATGCTCACGCCGAAATCTCTCAGCTTGAGGTTTAGCGTGTAATAGCTGAAAGCGATGGTAAACCTGGAAGGCAGGCAGAAGACACGTGCGTGCACACACATGCCCGGAGGGACCGGGGCACGCGGCGTGGGGAGGCGTGGAGGAGCGAAGTCAGCCCCAGCCAGCCCTGGGTACTCACCACACACAGCCCATCGGCAAGGTCACCTTGGAGCGCTGCCTACTGTTACAGAAGTCCAGGATAGAGGCCTTAGTCACCTTCTTTGCAGGAAGCTGCAGCTACAGGACAAGCAGGACGAGCCAGAGGCAGGGCCGAGACCCCAGCTTGCTCCCACCCCACCCGACCCACCAGGCCTGCCTGACCCCTGCAATGCCAGCTGACTTCTGGCCTTCCCCTGGTGGGGCTCAATGTTGCTGTCACCACTGCATTCGAGCAGCGGGCTGGAGACACCCTCTGGGCAGAGGTCCCCCCTACAAGGCCGAGGAGGGAAGAGGCCTTTCTGCAGCCCACTGCCCTAGCCCCGCTGTTGGCCTCAAGCCTCTTACCTCTTCCAGCAGGTTTAAAGGGATGGTCTTCTTGTTCACACCGGCCGCATAGGACAGCACCTCCTTGGCCTCCTTCACCTTCCCTTTCATCATCAACCACCGTGGTGACTCCGGGAGGACCCTGTGTGCCCCCCCATCTCTTATCTCACCATTCCAGGATGCCCAGAGTGCCCATCCCACCACCTCAGCTGTGACCATCCTGCCCAAGGTGACACAGGTGCCGCGCCTTGAAGGCTACCACCAATCTCCAGATGCCCTCCGACCCTCCCCAGCAGTCAGCCCTTCCCCTGCCAACCCACTGCTGCTTCGTGACACCCTGGCCACTCCACAGCCTCCTCCACCCTCAGTCATCTCGGAGAACTCTCCTTTCCGACCTCAGCATCTCCCACCTGCCTGGACATGCTGAGGGCACCAGCTCCCATGCCTGCACCCCCTACGGCCCCATTCTCATAGCTGGAATCTCTCCTGGTCACTCTCGGTCCCCCAGACATTTGGGGCAGAGTGGAGGGGAATCCATGTCTGCATTTAGGGCCCGGCATCCTGCCCGGGGGAATCCGCTATTGAGTGAAGGTCTTCACTGTCCTCTCTCTCCCCTGTCATGCCAGTCCCCCCTGCAATCCTCCCAGACTGTCTCAAGACCCACAGATGAAACACTAAGCACTCACTGTGTGCCAGGAATCATGCCAAGCTACATATGCCCTGTGTAATCTTCACCCACCCCTAGGCCTGGCATGATTATCTCTACTTCTTTCCTAGCCTCAGCGAGGAAGGGCTTGCCCAAGGTCACAGAGTCAGAGCACAGAGGACCTTCACCAGATAACAGTCTTGCTGGTGTCTTGATCTTGGACGTCCCAGCCTTGACAAATGTGAGCAGTAAGTTTCTGCTGTTGTCAAATTACCCAGCCTGCCGTATTTTGTTACAGCAGCCTGAATGTAGGAGAGGAGGCGCTGCTGTAACAAATAGCTAAAAATACGGAAGTGGATTCCGAACTGGGTAATGAGCACAGGCGGTAAGAATGGGAAGGGGTATGCTAGAAAAAGCCTGCATAGCCATAAATGGAACATTCAAGGTGATTCCTGTGAAGCTAAGACGAGAGCCCATTGAACAACCAATTCCTTCTCATGGAGAGGCTGACCAAAGATTGCTAACAGTTGGGAGGGGGGGGTAACTCCCAATTTAAAGAGAGTCTAAAAAGAATCAAACAGAGAAAAGGTGATCCAAGGAGAACATAGATAATGTGGAGAACAGGAGGAAAAAAGAAAACAAAGCTCTAACATATATCTTTGAAACCATTAAAATGTTTTGTCATATATATAAGATCCAAACGCTATTGAGGGGACAAAAAAAAAAAAAAAAAATTAGGAATAGGAGCGCCATAGAATGCTAGGTGGAATTTTTGGTCCTAACATTTCAACTGAAGTCCCAAAGTTGGTAACAAGTAAGAGTAACGTAACCTCACATTCTAAAGAGAGGTGTTACCTGTTAAACCAAACTCTGCTGCCTTGAGAAGGCCTCCGTACCTGCATACTTGGGTTCCTGAGTTCAATCATGTGCATCGATTACATTAATAACATTTTAAAATGGGGGCTGGCAGGTGGCATGGTGGTTCAGGGGTTTGAGTCCCGGACCCGGTGGCTTGCTTTCTCACTTTCTCTCTTTCTCTCGCTTGCTCACTCACATTGTCCCTCTCTGGCCAAATTAAAATAAATAAATGAACAAAGTTTTTTTTTAAAAAATCCCTCAATGATTAAAAAAATAAATAACATTTTAAAATGTTTCAAGGCATAGGAACCAGTAGTTAGCATAATGGCTATGTCGCTGGACTCCCACGTAGTCGACCACGGTTCGCGTCCTGGACCCGGTGGCTTAGAACTCATGCCAGGCACGTGTGCGTGCATGCCCAAGATCCCGAGAGGAGAACGGAGGAGAAGGGATTGCAGTGTGGCCATCCTCCCTGGGGGGTGATTTCTCGCTTTCTGTCTCTATGTCTCTCTCTGTCTGTCTGGCCAGCGCACGTGCCCTATAGCGAAAACCTCTAAAAAAAAAAAGTTTCAAGGCACAGCTGCAATGGGGCTTCAGGACCACAGTGTTCTGCAGCGGTGGAAGCCACATTGGAAGATTGGCAGTCCCTGGATCAGCTCGTACATGTCGGGTGCATATGTGTGTGTCCATGATCCATAGCCCAGGCAGACTGAGAAAGGCGGGAGGGATTGCAGTGAGACCCTGTTGAGTCTCTCTCTCCCTTTCCTAAGATAAATAAATACATAAGTAAATAATAAATACATAAGTAAATATTTGAAGGTTAAGCCAGGAGCCTCTCTTTTCCAGTTACATAATGAAGTCATGCACTCTGGCATCAGCTGGGCCCCACATTCAAGGACTATTAAAGCTGGTCTCCATGGGACCTACAGATGGCATAATGGTTATGTCGCTGGACTCTCATATAGTTAACTGCGTTTTGAGTCCCAGATGTGGCGACTTAACACTCATGCTGGGCATGTGTGCGTGCATGCCCAAGATCCTGAGAGGAGAATGGAGGAGAAGGGATTGCAGTGTGGCCATCCCCCCTGGGGGGTGATTTTTCTACTTTCTGTCTCTCTGTCTATGTTTCTCCAGCGAGTACACGTGCCCTATAGCAAATATCTCTCTTAAAAACAAACAAACAAAAAGTCGCTGGTCTCCAGCTTCTGCAGATTTTGGAGCCACCTACACGCCCTCACACTTACCTGGTTATCTCGTCTCTTATGACCCATAATGTGAGTGGCACAGTGGTTAAAATACAGGGGTTTTTAGACTCAAATGGGCTGAGTTCAAATCTCAGGCCCTCTACTTTTGAACTGCGTGACCTTGGGCAAGTAATTTATACCCTTTGAAACCTTAGTCCTCCTCACTCTCATCTTTCCCCCCACTTGGGACTAACACCAATCCTTCAGGGTTGTAAAGAATAAATGGGCCAACGTCAAGAGTAAATATGATTTCTTCACACAGAACGGCCTGCCCCTTAACAAGTGAGTTATTTCCACTCTCCTCCACTCCTTCCCCTGCCTTCTCTGCTCTTTCTCTCCTGCGCCTGGCCCTTCGTGTCCAGCCCCCCCTTCTTACTCTTCCAAGTTTTGCTGCATCAGTTGCCCCTTCATAGCTTAACTCTCTCGGGCTCCTGTCTGTGACTCCCGTACAATCAAAAACATGAGGTGCCCTGCCCTGCCTTTGTCCTAGCTGCCCACATACGTCATGGCTCTCCCCCTCTCTACCTGAAGAGCCATCTCCCAGGTGGCTCCATTTCTTCCGCTCTTACTCGCTCAGCCCCTGCCACGCCGCTGAAGCCACCCCGGGAAGGGATCTGAGCCCAGAAGATCCTTTCCCAGGCCCCCTCTCTTGCCTTCACCGTTGACCATCCCCTTGTCATTGAAACCTGTTCTTTTGGACCAGCAGTTAGCATAATGGCTATGTCGCTGGACTCCCATGTAGTCGACCGCAGTTCGAGTCCCAGACCCAGTGGCTTAAACTCACCCCGGGTGTGTGTGCGTGCGTGCCCAAGGTCCCGAGAGGAGAATAGAGGAGAAGGGA